TTCTCGCAGCTTTCCAAATAGAGTAGCAATATTCATTTCTTTGAGATCCTTTTATTATGTAATAGCAGTGACCTTTGGTTTCCAATTCCTGTCTAAGGATTTCAAGATCTTTATGTTCAACTCCTCATTGTCAAAACTCTTTCCTAATGCTTTCAAGTGATTTACTATATGTGTGAAGCGTGTCTGGAAATCCTTGATGCTTTCATTCTGCTGCATTTGAAACAATTCATACTCCTGGATGAGTGTGTTCTTACGTGCTGCTTTAATTTATTTGTTCCTTCATGTGTTACTTCAAGAGTGTCCCATATTTCTTTTGTCGTCTTGCATTGTGAGACCCTGAAAAATTCATCACGAGTTAAGGCAGAAACAATAGCATTTCGGGCTCTTATATCATAATGGGCACGCTTGTTTTCATCTGGCGTCCATTGATCAAAAGTCTTTGGAACAACTTCAGATTCTGTTGTTCTCATCGGAATGTAGGGACCGTTAAGTACAACATCCCAAACACCGTAATCTAGTGTTTGTAAAAATATTTCCATTCTCGCCTTCCAAAATTGATAGTCTTCTCCTTCAAATAATGGTGGTTTGTTTATTGAGGCTCCTTCCCTGTAAACCTGATTTTGCATAGACATCTTGACAGATCATTCAGAAATATCTTATCTAACCAAGCTCTGATACCACATGTTAGACAAATGACATCTAGAGGGGGGTAAATAGATGCACAAATAAAATAAATGCCAAATTAAAAATTTATTTTAAGATGTCCAATATTTATTAATTCAATTTTAATTATCAAATTGAACAAAGATAAAGCAGAAGAAATATAATTAGAGAGATAAAATATCAATAAGATAGAGAAATATAGAGATAAAAATAAGGGGCGTAAGGAGAATAATGCAGTGAAAAAGAGATAAGGAAAAGAGAAGAACACACAGTGGTTTATACTGGTTCAGGTATAGTCAATCCTACATCCAGTTCTCAGTCAACTCTTAATACAATAGTGACCCAAATTCACTATTTTTTAAATTCAGTTCACAAATTACAATCAACTCAGCAAAAAGCAAACTAATTTAAAAGAAAATCACCTCCTTAGAAACTAACTAAGGATGAACACCTCCCTAGAATCTCACTAGGGTTGAACACCTCCTCAGAACAAATCAAAGGATGAACACACCTCCTTAGAATCCTACTAAGGATGAAAACACTTCCCTGAACAAAGGGATGAACAGTTTCCACACAGGAAACCCTAAAAAAATACAACAAAATAACAGTGACTACTTAAACCCTAAATATGGAATTTAACAATCAACCACTTAGGCCCACAAAGGATGAAGGTAATAAAATAAGAACAGTCACACATGGGTAATAGAGACAACAAATTGTAGAAGTCTGTAGAATGTCAACCTCCAAGAACAAGTGTGATTAACAATGAAAGCACAATAGGCAATGGAGAAGAGGGTTTTGGTAAAATATCTATGTGGCAATGGAGAAAAGGGTTTTCTTAAAACATGTAAAATATCTCTGTTGCCTTGCTCAGAATTCTTTTCTCAAAACTGAGTGAATGTAAATTGTATTTTCGAATTCTGTAATTTTGTGTTTTTGATTTTTCATCAAAACTCATTTAAATAGGAAAATAGCATCAAAAAATAGTCGTTTGTCATTAATAATTTCATAGAGAAAAATCAGGGTGTATTAAAAATATTTATTCTTCAAAACATATATATTTTTCAAATTTGAACTGCCATAATTGATTATGTTACCAGTATAATCAATTATGACTGAGAAAATCGTTTTTCCATTTCTGATGCATCATAATTGATTATGACAGTGAAAAATATTATGTTAAGAAATTTTATCACACTTGTGCTTTGGAGGCTTATGCATAATACCACTTCATCAACTTGTACCTCCATATCCAGTATTCTAAGACTCTATCTAGTCTTCAGGAATAATCTTGGGTTTGCTTGAATCTTGAATAGAATCTTTATCAAATCATATATTGGGCTTGCTTGAGTCTTGAATGTTGTTGACTTGAATCATCATCAAAATCAACTCTTGGGAATATAGAGACATGTTTCACATTGCCATCAATCTCCCCCTGATTGCTTTAAGATTCTCTCTCCCATATCACGCGTTCTTCTTCTTCTTTCATTTAAATTTCAAGCAAACGATATTTTACTCGTGCAGGATCTGGTGAAACGGGAGAGAACTTAGATTAAGTGGGAAAGCTTCGGTAGAAATACCACACAAGGTAAGGGGAAGTTTAATTCATTCAATATATTAGACTGAATTGTTGGGTACTCTGTGAATAAGGAATAGGAGTAGAAATCTAAATTATTTGAATGACTGATTTTGAAGATTTCTTCATGTTTTATAAGTTTGAAATTTTATTGATATTAAAGATGAATTATATGGTAAAATTATTGTTTTTGAGTTAAAATGGGCATATCTCGTGTTTAATTTGGATTTGGAACTAGTTTGGTTGCTTGAAACTGAAAAATTTGAAATCTCGAAATTTTGATATGGTTACTGGACGCCAGGATGAATAAAGGGGTAAGAGAGGAATTTTTGAAAAAGATCAAGGGTAAAATAGTTATTTTACACCCTAGGGAGATAAATGAAATTTTTGAAAATGTTCAAGGGTAAAATAGTCATTTTCAGGACATGAAAGGAATAATCGAAAATGTCCAAGGGTAAAATAGTCATTTTCGGGACATGAAGGAATAATAAAAAATATCCAAGGGTAAAATAGTCATTTCGGGATATGGAAGGAATAATCGAAAATGTCCAAGGGTAAAATAGTCATTTAGGGACATACATGGAATTTTAAGAAAAGATTAAGGGCAAAATAGTAATTTAATGATTTCAAGATGAAAAAGGAATAATAGAAAATGTTTAAAGGTATAATTGAAATTTTAGAAATAAAGTAATGGTATGTTAGGAAAAATAATTAAAATATAGAATGAAATTAGAAATTTTAAAGAATCAGCAGCGTGTTGTGACGTGTGTAGGTTAAACTGAGTCTGAGGGCTGATGCCCAGAATCAGTCATGAGATGCTATGTATTGGCTAGACTGAGCCGGAGGGTTGGTGCCTAGGATCAGTCAAGTACTATTATTTATTGACCCGAATGAGCCATGAGGACAGGTGGTCCAGAATCTGGCAGATGTGAATGATTGTTGTTGTGTTTGAATGGTACTCGGGGTGGTACAGAGTATATTAGTGTACTAACTATGTTGGAGGATTCAGATGAGGTCCCAAACTTCACTGATTGGTCGGGTTAGGTAGATTACGAGATGAGGTGGTGAGAAGTCGATGGAGGATGACTGGTGGCGTGCTCAAAGGGGTACTCCAGAATGAATGATGAAGGGCGCCAGTAATCTCACTCTGTGTGGAGGGTGGTCAGGATGGTACTGCGAGTGCTGACAACAATGTGCCCACAGATGATAGTCTCTAAGTTCGGGCATAGTTAGGGTAGATTTTCGAAAGACGTCTTAGTGTATTGATGATTTGTAATTGATGATAATATGTAATTATTAATTCTATATCTACTTTATTATATCGAATGATTTAATATTTACCCCCTATTTTTTTCCATGTGGATGAGACTGCGATGATCACTTTTATGTGGGAGCAGAGCAGGAGTTGAGAGGTGGAAATACGACTACTGGGCAACATGAATAATTCAGTAGGATGATCTTTGTGGGAGCTACTTTTGTATGCATCTATATAAATAAGTTGTGATACTATATTTTGAGATTTCGTTAATGAACCGAGATTTCAATCTATATTACAATTACAATAATATAATATAATATAGATATTGTTATTTACTTGTTTACTATTTTGCGAATGTATCATTATAGTAGCGATTTCTAGAGTCGTTACAAAGTAAAATTTTAATCAACTGACTATTTGAAATATAATTAACTTTTGTTTCACAATATGATCATAGTAGATAAAATCAACATATCATAAAAATGAAGATAAATTAGTGATAAAATTTCTATGATACAATTATCACATTACATTTCACTTCTAAGTCAATAACCAACCAATTTCCAATTTTTTAGTTTTTTTTTTTTTTCCTTATGCTCACATTGAAGACAAGTTAAAAAAAGAAGGGCAGAATTTTTTTTAAAATAAAGAAACAGTGAATAAATTAGCTTAATAAAATCAACTTGTTGCATTTAAGCTAACCTATATTTATATTTATATATATATATATATATATATATATATATATATATATATATATATATATATATATATATATATATATATATATATATAAAGAAATGAGTATAGGATATTAGAAAGAATTTAGAGTTTAGAATGGCTGAAAAATTTATAAAAATGAAATTCAAATCGAAAAAAAAAATTACACTCTTTAAATAAAGATAAAAATTTCAAATTTTACTCAATTTAACCATTTCACACTTTTACTATTAAAATTTTGCTCGTTACATTTATAATAATTTACATATAAATAATAAATAAAATATTAAAACTTAGTTAATACATAAAATATTTTTTATTGTAATTATAAAAATGGACAAAGTTTCATAAATTGACATATAAAGTATTTATAGAAACGATTATAGGTAGTTTAAGCACAACAGGTGAGTAAATTTTTTCCTATTTAAACGTGAAACCGTTGGTTAATTTGGAACAACTTATGTTAGTTAATCCATGTGTTTGTTTGGCAGAAAAAAAAAATCTAATAATTTAATTTTTTTTTTTTTAAAATGCTATTATGAATTCATTTAATGAGTAAACGGTGAATAACATCTTTTCTAAATACGACAAAAGCTAGATATGAAAAGTGACAAAGTGAGCATATAGTACAATTCCGAAAGCAGGAGGAACGAGAAAGAGATACGACCCAAATAGTGAGTGAATGGAATCTTCCTTGTTCTTCTTCTCCTAGCCCTCGCAACCCAAAAAGCAACGTTCACAACACAACACAAAGGAAGAAGAAGGTGCATAACACACAAAACAATGGCGTCCACGTTTGGCACTTCTTCTATTGCCCTTCTCCGTTCATCACTCCACTCTTCCCAATCCCTTCCCACTGATTCGTTCTCCCAAACCTCATCAGGTACATACATCTTCTCATCCCAACCTATGTTTTTTGGTGAAATAGTGATGTGATTTTGAACGGTTGTTTTGTGGCTTTGCAGTGCAGATATTTGGACCCAAGTTTTGCGGAGGAATTGGGATTCATGTCGTCAAGGGCAGGTATGGGTTCCCGGTTGCGAGTGCTGTTGCTGCTCAAGTTAACGCTTCAGACCAGGTATGTTAGGGATACTCCGATTGTGATGCCAGAATTTCACTGGGTATTCTTCTTCCAAGGGATCTAAATGCTGGTGTAGTGTATGAGTCATTGTTAGCAAATCATACATTGGGGACATAGTTTTTGGACCATTGTATCTTTGTTTCTATTGAATTTGCACATAGGCTGTGATTGGATAAGGGATGAAATGTCAAAGGAAGAAAAGGTTAGGGCAATGGGGCTTATACTTATTAGGTTTTACTCAGTCATTAGTTGTATCAAATAAAATGAGCGTAATTAAAAATGCACATGTGTTTTTATGTCTCCGTTCAATCATGAATTGCCGTCTAAGGTAAAATTGTTGAATTTTTTAATAAGTACTTTAAAAATCATATTTTTTTTCTAGGGCTTGACTAAAATACACATACAATAGTGTATATGTGTAATATATATTTCGTATAATAAATATACAATGCAATTATGTAAATCCAAATTAGGAACATTCATCTCAGACCTACTTAAACGAAATAAAGTTTGTAAATCATTACCATCATAAATCATTGGTGTAGTCTTTAAATATGAACAATACCAATCTCGTTCCTTTGTGGAAGTTCTCCATAAAATGGACAATTTCTATCTTTTGTTCATCAACGGAAAATGATTTGATGTTTCTATAAGTATACATGCTTACATGTCTCATACGTACTGGATTTTCATAACATTTAATAAAAGGTTGGACACTTCATCAAATATGTATCTTCGAAGCAATTTAAAGTACCAGTGCTTCAAAGCTGGTTGATGGCGTAAAATTCTTTACACTTGTGTGTATAAAAATTTGGCCCTTGCACATCTGTTTTTGGTTTCCTGTTTTGATGACATCTCAACTCTGTAAACTTAATCCAGGCTCGGAAATTCGCTTTTACCGAGAGCCAGAGGCCAGTGTACCCATTTTCTGCTATAGTGGGACAGGACGAGATGAAGCTTTGCCTGCTCCTAAATGTGATTGATCCCAAGATTGGAGGTGTAATGATCATGGGCGACAGGGGAACAGGGAAATCTACAACTGTTCGATCACTGATTGATTTGCTTCCTGAAATCAAGGTTGTTGCTGGTGACCCATATAATTCAGACCCCGAAGATCCAGAATTCATGAGTGTTGATGTGAGAGCGCGTGTGTTGAAAGGAGAGCAGCTCCAGATTGTCTTCTCCAAAATTAACATGGTGGATTTGCCATTAGGAGCTACAGAGGATAGAGTCTGTGGGACAATTGACATTGAGAAGGCCCTAACTGAGGGCGTAAAGGCCTTTGAACCAGGCCTTCTAGCTAAAGCTAATAGGGGAATTCTGTACGTTGATGAAGTTAACCTTTTGGATGATCACTTAGTTGATGTATTGTTGGATTCTGCTGCATCAGGTTGGAACACGGTTGAGAGAGAGGGCATTTCAGTCTCACATCCCGCTAGGTTTATCCTAATTGGTTCAGGAAACCCTGAAGAAGGAGAACTCAGGCCACAGCTGCTGGACAGGTTTGGAATGCATGCTCAAGTAGGGACTGTTAGGGATGCTGAGCTAAGAGTGAAGATTGTGGAGGAGAGAGCTAGTTTTGACAAAAACCCAAAAGGATTCCGACATTCTTACAAGGCAGAGCAGGAAAAGCTCCAGCAACAAATTGCCTCTGCAAGGGGTTTTCTTCCTTCTGTTCAAATTGATCACGATCTCAAGGTGAAAATCTCCAAGGTTTGTGCAGAATTGAATGTGGATGGATTAAGAGGAGACATAGTGATAAACAGAGCTGCAAAAGCTCTTGCTGCCCTCAAGGGGAAAGTCAAAGTAAGTGCAGAGGATATTGCTAATGTCATCCCTAACTGTCTGAGGCATCGTCTTCGAAAGGATCCCTTGGAATCGATAGATTCAGGTTTACTTGTACTGGAAAAATTTTATGAAGTTTTCCGCCGAACATGATATGACATGGTCTCTCTTTTTGGGGGTTTTTGAATATTTTACCACTTAGTCTTTTACATTTTAGCCTTTTATGTGAGGATTTTCATTTTCCTTGAAGGATTTCTTATCTTTTAATAGATTCTTACACAGTATAATACAAAAAGACCTCAAATTTCATTTTGGTCTTTTGTATTATCCGGTGAGTGTTGGGTCTCTCAAAGGGATTCATCGAAGAAAAATAACAATAATGAAATATAATTCCAATCCAAAAATAACATTAATGAAACATAAGCTCAACCTAAATGCAGGATTTACATCATTCTTAACCAAAAACTTTAAGGTATTGGATTATGAGTCTTAATTCTTTATATATTACTCAACTTTCTCATTCTTATTCAATATAAGATTCAGATTTATGTTTGGATTACTTAATAGTAACGATATATAGTTTCTTTTGAATCTATAATCTATGAAGATTAAGTAGTATTTCCCATCCTATTCTGAACCGAACATTCAAAGTAAAAACCAGTTTCTTCTGAATCTATAATCTATGTAGTTAAAGTGGTATTTCCCATCATTTTCTGAACAGAACATTCAAAGTAAAAAGTAGTTCCCTTTTTTAGCTTTGAATAAAGTGTATTTTGCTATATTTTTAACGTTATATAAATTATGTGATGAGACAGTTTTGCACATACTTACTTACATGAAACCCACGACTGTCACACTGAATGTTTTCCCTTGTACCATTGTATGTTACAACTCAACAAGCATCTAGAAAGTCATTTTCCATCTATCAAACTTTGCAAAACGTAGAATTGTACGAAGACAATTCATTTTAACTAAAAATCACAAGGTGATCTACTGTATTAAGTTGGCCTTCCAACACTCAGTACGTAGTTTAGGATAAAGGCCTAACTGACTTAGGGAATCTCCTATGCAGGGATTTAAATAAAAGTCTTAAATGTAAAACTCAGTTCTTCTAAGAAACTCTCATTAAAGTATACTGATGTAATATGGTGAGAGTCTTAAATTTAAGTCACGGGTCTTACATTTAAAACTGAGGTCTAAGAAACTCTTATTGAAGTATGCTGATTTAGGATGATGGCGTTTTAAAATTAAGAACTGGAACATTATCTTAAGGACATCAATTTCAGAGAAGAACTAATTATGCAAACAGTCAAGTGTGGCATTGTGAATTCTTATCAATTCTCATTATTGAAATAAAATTTGTTAGAGTTGCTTAAAGTGTTACCATGGTGGGACCTATTTAAAGTAAAATAAGATCCTGGAAGAGTTTCTTATAAGATCCCTCCTCCTGCATTGTAAGTATTCTTAGGAACTGGGAGAAAGCAAGTTAGTGAGTGGTCAGCAAATGCATCTAGACTCGTTAATACTATTTTAAGTGATTCAACGTCTGCAAGTCTCAACTTTATGATGTATTAACAAGGAATATGTCTTTCAATTGATGTGATATTACCTTCTTCCTTTCTTATTAAATATAAACACTTGCTACAGATTCTAGAACTCTGTTGTTATGGATTTTTTGAATTATTAAGAACAAATATCAAGGAAAAATACAAGAAATAATGAACTCAAGGTAGTATAGTATCATTTGATACATTCTGTGGAACCTTGAATTTAGGATTCTGCTCCAGGAAAGCCGGTGGCCGTTGATACACAACTGATGCAGCCCTAATCAAGATCCCAGCAGTTAAACCCCAGATGAGGTATTTTTTATGCCCAGCACCATAGTCAAAGAAATGCAACAAATACTTCTCGCCCATCCACTCCCTCTCCTCCTGCCTCCGATTTTCATCCTGGTTAAAGTGAGGACATCAGATACGTGATATTAACGATGAAGATTATACGAGATCAAAATGAAAAGAATAAGCATGGACCTTGAGAAACATCTCCAAAGGTGCATCAAATACTGCTTCCACTTCAGCTGGATTTAGAACAGGTTTGAATGCTTTCTTGTCATTAAGTATGCCTATGACCGGAACTACTCTTAGGAGATGCTACAAATATAACAGTGACAAGTTAAAAGTACTAGAGTGAAACTTCCCATTCAAACCATATAATATGAAGAATATGAAGCACATTTGAAATGGAATAGACTAACAAAAAGGCGTCTAATCTATCTAACAAGTGGGAGTTTAAACATCATCAAAACAAATAAGATGATAAACATGATTAGAGTTTATATTTTTAATTATATAAATGTGTATAGTTTTTAATCTTTGGTGATAACCCATCGCACAAAGTTTCTTATCATCTCCTGAACATGAACTTGATTTGTCATATACAAATTATTGCAAATAAGCACTTATTTCCATGTATGGTTTGTCAAAGAAAATATTACACCACCCAAACTATGGAAAAGTTGGTAATGCTATTATTGTCATTAATGTATATAGTGTAACTCTTAATAGACAGCATAAACACTTCTTTCTGTTCATGTTTATCCTGCCTGAGCACAAATACTCTCTACTGTTGGTTTATAAATAAAAAATCCTATTGCATATCAAACTATTGTCTAAGATTAAAGACTAAGAAGTTTAGAACTAACTCAGCCATTTTGTTTTGGCATTTGCGTAGATGCCGTGGACTTATTGAAAATTTGTACTCAGTTCAATGATCTGCAATGATACATGACTTTTCAGTCTTTCACAAGTAGTGGCACTCTATTTTTCTGCGATTTTCTTTAACGTGGAAGGAACAAAGGCCAAGAGGAATCTCTCAATGTAACATTTCTTAGTTCTTACATTCATAAATATAGGCAGTGAAGAAAGCTCATCTGTTTGCCTTTCTCAGATACAAATTCCTAAAATAAGAATGGCACACAACTCTGGGTCATAATACTTAAAATATTATCGAAAGGTAATTATCTTATTTCACATCCATTCCACACTACCTTATGTTATACAGACATGTTCAATTAACAAAGACAACAATCACAATTTGTTGACAATATCCTCCATACCCATACTGCACTTTGTTATGGTGGATAGTGAATTTGAATTTAATCAAAATTGAGATGAAAAACCCTGGAACATGGTAATACCTCAGTTGGTACATAGTAAATGTACAGATTTAACATCAAAATTCCTAATCACAATAATTACTAAACACTCAATTTTGCTTTCACCCACAAGCAAGCCAGGACAGAGATCCATCTAAAGTTAAGCTAATCACTTAAACTAGTGAAACGTATCAAACAGAACATGCATTACCTTAGATAAGAATGGTTCAAGAACACTAACAACATTGACAAGTTCCGGGTCCAACCCAATTTCCTCCTTTGCTTCTCTTTTTGCAGTGTCCCCATCATCCTTATCTCCCTCCTCCGCTTTCCCACCGGGCAATGCCACTTCACCTGCAAAAACAACACCCGAAACACACAAATCCCCCTCAATCGCCACAACCTAAATTGCAATTATTTTAAAAAAAATAAAAAATTCAACACCACGAAAAGAAAAAAAAAAAAAAGATAGAAACTTAGTTTACACTGACCCGAGTGAGTAGAGAGCTCGGAAGAGCGCTTAGTGAGAATGACCCTGAGATCCCCATCATCCCCTTCAAATAAGCAAATCAAAACAGCAGCTTTTTTGGGTCTGAATTTTTCTGAATTTTGACCAACTGGGGTTGCTGCTTCGGGAAAACCCACCTGCGAAACAACCTTGCTACCACTTTCTTCAATGCGCTGCTCCACAATATCTTCAGGGAAAGACGGGGCCTTGTACTGGCGAAGATGCTGTGCCAGCGCCAAAAGCCTCTGAGATCCTCCCATCCCAGCGTTGGAAGAAGAATCCATGATTTTGGAGATAGATGATGATGCTCTGGGTAATAAGGATCTTATAGATGGTAATGTTCTCACAATGGAAACCATACGCGGCACAGTTAAAAACAGAACAACCACCGACCAAACCTGTGTCTTAAACTATGTACGACGTTTTTTTTTTTTTTTTCTTTTTAGAAATTAATGAATGTTGATGAAGAGTTTGTCTCTAGCATGAATTGCAAAATTCTTGATGAAGAGTTTGTCTCTAGCATGAATTGCAAAATTCTTGATTTAAAATATTTTCTGAGATTCATCTTTTTCTAAAAACTACTACTAATGTTTATTTAATACAAAATGGTTATGTTTTGTGAAAGGTGAAATAAGTTGACTCGTTGTTGGTTGTACTTAATTGGCTGATCGTTTGCCTGAGTGATAAGTATAAATTTTCTTGGGTGACATGCGATATGAATAATAAATTCAGAACAACTTTCGTGATGTCTTTATTTTAACGTTTGAGTGGTTGCGTGCTGTAAATTTCATCTTTGAGTAAAAATAATATTATGTTTGTTTTCTATAAAAGAAGATATCTCTTCCCTAATTAATTCCATCGATCTTCATTTAATGCACAAACCTATTTTATTTTTCTTTTCATAAATTATCATGAAAAATAGTGGTGCCGTACAAAAGACAGGGTTGAAGTGGATAAGGGTAGTTAATGCGATTTTAACTAAGTTGATTGGAACAGAGACAAACAAAGCATGAAGTAGAAAAGAGGGAAACAAAATTGTTACAAAATAATAATAAAGTTGGAAAATGACATGTAATATTATGAACTACGTGCAAAATATTCCATATGATGATAATAGAATTAACCATCAAGAAGTTAACAAGAGCATAACAGCTTAAACAAAAATTCTACTACAATACAACAAACTAAGTGGGGAAAAGAGCAATTGATCTATATATAATTCGTCTTCGCATTGCACTAAATATTACAATATTAAAGATAATAAAAACCAATCAACAAATCACACACACGTTTGATCGTCCATTTTCTATCACTAAGGTCATTGAATTTCACTCACATTCATATGCACAAATTGGAAGCAATCCAATGAATAAAGAAAAACAGATTGCCTTTTTCTGTTTAGACACAATAATGTAACTGTAACCACTTAAAAATCAATTTGACTGCTAATGTTATATTAAATAGGCTTGATAAAATACGCATGGTTCTGTTCTTTGCATCAGCCTGAGTACTCATTGCTTTCCTTCCTGCACTGCTTTTTTCTCTGTAGCAGGGTAAGACAACCTTCTTCTAGCTTTAGTAGTAGTCCCTTTTGCATTACCTAAGGGTTTAGTCCCTTTAGCACTAGCTGAAGGAGTTTTAACTGAAGCTGGTTGTTTTGATGTTGATGATTTCTTACCCTTTTTAACTTTGCTTGACATCATAGTTTGATCTTTCCTGGGACTAATGGTTGCACTGGGGACACGGCTTTCCCAAGGGCGCGCAGCAATCCAGCGGTCCTTCCAGCTCCAACTCCAACTAGCTTTGCCAGGTTCATAGTTACCTAGACCTTGGCTAGAGTTGGCCCTCCACTGTTGTTCATGAGATATGCATATCATTTTCAGTAGAACCAAGGGAAACAATGTTATGTTACTACTACTCATTACTAAGATGAACCTACCTGATGAGAGAAGGCATATGCCATGCTTCTTTCCCGCTTAACTGCTGCTTCTTCTCTTAGATGTAACCTTGCAAGGATTTCCTCCATGGTTTCAGAGCCACCACACCATTCCACCTGTGATTTGGTTAAACTGTTGGTCAGAAAAAGGTTTATTGAAGAGGGTTCTCTATCCAATTCTTGTATCTGGTGAATTATTGCACAAGTATTAAAAGGTCAATGATAAAAGATTCCAAGCATTTCATCCATAATGGAATAGGAAAAACTAATACCTGGAATCTGATTTCAATTAAGTACATATGTTTATGACATCTCGTTAAGAATTTCAACTTGGTATTGTAGAAAAGAGAATAGGAAGTTTCTACAAGGATAAAAATGCATTTCATGATATCTAATACAATAAAATAGGTCCCTCTTTACAAACAAACAGTGTATTGCTTAACTAAAATTCAACTATTGGCATGAAACAAAAAATTCACATTGAAGATTCAGTAAGAGGAAATGAGGGACCGGTGATAACAGTGGAAGGGCATACTTGTAATGTCCAAAGATTTATACATGAGAGAGATTTTGCACATGCTTTCAATGTCTAAACCTCTAACTACGGGATGGTAGACTTCGGAAGTAAAGCTAACTCATGGAGACTCTCCACTCATGACACTGTTTCAATCACTTAGTGCAGTTTCCCATTTACTAATCACATAGAAACCATAAAGAGATCTTTAAAATAATTACACATAAAACATATTTAAAACAGAGAAACCGATGAAACCATGAATATACATTTGGCTATGAATATATATAATGGTAGTAGTAGAAAGGGCGATCAACAAACTGGCAAGGCAACAGTTTGAAATAAAAAATCCATAATATGCTCACTAAAAACCTTTTATCTGTGAGGGAAGGTTACCTCCAGATCATGAATCTTGGCCTCTAGTTTTAGTTGAGAATGTAATTTCTTCCGCTTGATCCTGTCTTCTGTCACCATACATATTCGGCGAGCTCTAATCTCAGCCTGTATTTTGCTCCATGAATGAAGATGAGTTATAGTTGTACTAGCTTGTTTTTGGACAGAGCAACCTTGAGTCAGGATTTTCAGTTTTGTGAATCCTCTCAAGCGACGTAAATATTTTCTAGCCTGGCGGATTCAAAAGTCAGCAGAAGACATTAACAGAAGGTTTGTACATAAGTAATGCATACATGCTACACACGTCTATCAGTAATAAATAATGCCATAAATTGTATGCATGTAAGGAAATAGCATATGCATCCATAGTTGAATAATGGAATATATATATTATATATATATATATATATATATATATATATATATATATATATATATATATATATATATATATATATATATATATATATATATATATATATATATTTGACTTGGTTTGTTCTCCATGAATTGTCATACCTTATAAGCTCGGAATGCTGTTTGAATCCTTGTTGCAGCAATAGTTTCAATGGATACTCCAGCTGACTCTAGATTTTCACTTTTAGTGCCATTTGCTAAACCATTGGACTTTTTTCCTCTATAAGTCTTAGTCTGCAACACAATTAATTTCCATGAATTCCTATCTCAAAATGTGAGAATATTTGTGAGGATATTAGGTCACAACACCCATCAAACAAAGTAAGTACCAATGTATTCTAACAAATGACTTTGCTGCAGCCAAAATAATAAAAGAAAAACAAGTTAACATATGCTGCTTCTCAAAAACATGATCCATTTCAGCGGAGTGGCATCAACTGATTCAAGTTAACTGACCTCAGAAAGTGAGAGAAGGGTTGGTTCTTGTTGTTGTAATAGTTCATAGGCATATTGCATTCCAAAACTTTGAATTACATCATGTAGAACAAATATAAACTCTGGTTTTCAATTTAAATCACGAAAGTATTTTTGCTTTGCCAAAATGTCGGTTATTTAAATTATGGACGATGTCTGACTCGGGTCTAAAGATAATATACTCACATTTCAATCCCTTATAGCAAATGGGCAATCACTCTCCAAACAACCAAAACCTTAACTGCTAAATAAGGCATACGTGATACTGCATGATCAAGATAAATTACCTTCAAAGCATACAAAAAGATTTCTTTGATTTTTCTGGAAAATAATGAAAATAAAGAGGCTTACAATGAACTTTTCACACTCATTAATCCAAGAAAAATTCAGTCCATGAAACTAACATTGACAGAATGTATGTACCTTTACTTTCCTTGATCTGCCTTCTTTTGATTTCCTTGAGCTGATTATTGTCTTAAACCAATCGCCCGAACCCATTCTTTTAATTTAACATAAACCTGGGAATATAAAAAACATTAGCACAGCACTAGACAAATAAAGACTTTGCACCTTGTTGTTCATAAACAGAAGAGGAAGACTGTTGGAGTTCCTGTGATCTGCCCGTGTTGGTCTTTTTATTTATCCAAATAGTTAACTGAAAACATTAGACCTATTCTTCAAACATTTATCTCTTCAAGATTATATTCTCGTGTAAGTTATTTATAAACAAGCTCAAGACATTCTAAGTGTAGAGTTGTTCATCCATGAAACATTATATGATATATATCACTTCTATATTGATTGAGAAAGGATAGGAACAATGAAATATTGGAATATACAAGTAAAATGTTGGGAATTTAGTATTTTAACCAGTATAAGGATTAATAAAGCAAGCTGGGTTTTCCAATTTAAGGATGGCAGCTTATAAGTTTTTGACTTAGATTTGAATGGATGCTATATAAATTATTTTAATAGTTTGGTTTCCCACTTTCTGTCTCCCTTAATCTCTTCTTCCCTTCCCTTATCACTGAACTACCTCACCAAATAACCACTCCTATTATGATTATGCTAAGAACTTCGTTCCCAAAACCAGAATAGAAAATAATTCACTACCACAGGTGTTGATTGTACAACTGAATTTTATCAGCAATAACAAGATCAGAGACCAAACATGTATCAGACTGCATCATAGTTTGCAGCCAGGGAAATAAAATTATTTGCTCATTTTGAACAAAACTACAGTTACTATTATAGTCTATGATGTTTAGTTGATGCATAAAAACCGTTTGTTCCCTCATTCCATTTATAGACGTATAAAAATCCCAACAATAATCACCCAGCCAACTGAAATTCATAATAGACTACCCAATAATTTTCCTTCCACATCAGACTCACAAGCAGAACAAAAAAATGGATCAACAAGTAAAGTAATAAACTACTTAAAAGATGAATAAATGACAAAAAACAGTATATGTTTGATTGCCTAGCAAGCAAACCAAAGAGCAAAATTTGTCAAAATCCATCTGGGTCTCACAACACACCCAACATGACACCAGAATCAATTTATGAATCCAGAATATGGACCAAACAGTGCAAGAACAAATAAAAAGCATCTGGGGGTGGATGGCGTACCAGAGAACAAGGAGACAAGTGTCCAAGGCAACCCTTTTTCTCACTTGGGTAACAAGATTTCTGGATGGGAAAAAAGCTGTGGGGGACAGTAATATCTGCATAGAAGTAAAGAGGAAGGAAATATCAATACAAAGAGAGAAAGAGAACAAAAGATAGCTATTAAATATGGATAATGGAATGCCATGGCCCAATACCACCACCTTTGATTTACATGGAGAAAGAAAAAAAAATCTCTCTTTTCTCTGTGTCTCACACAATCAAAGGCTCAACCAACGCTTATAAACACTAGTAGGCCCACATCTGAAAAAGAAATGAATAAATGAACATTGACGTGCAGTTTAGTCTGACAGAGATAGTAACGTAATATTACATGACACGGTTGCACTTAGGAGAAATTCAACAAGGGGGGCTACAGCTACGCTTACAACGACATCAGAGCAAACCTTGACAGCAGAATCTTCAAGGTGACCCTGTTGCACTTTTGGCATTTTTTCTATTCATAAACATGAATTTGCAAAAGTATATTTTTTCATCTCTTTGATGAAGACTAACATGAAAGGAGACTTTGACTTCATATCAAATAAACTGTTACGTTAGTTTAATATGAAAAATAAATAAATTATAGATTTAATATGGAAAATTTATCTATTTAATATAAGTTTTACAAATTAAAAATAATTTAAAAAATTGATCTGGCGAGGTTTGAAATTGCGAGTTTCGACTCATAAGACCAACCCTCTAACCAACTGAACTATGGGACCACGTTATTTTAAAAGAGTTTTATTTTATTTGTCACATCAAACATCTCAGATAATTTTATTATATTATATAAGATTCAATTATTAATTTTGGATATTTAAAGAAATATGAAGTATATGTATTTTATTTTGGACAACTGTATTTTAAAATAAAAATACATTTTGTAGACCTTGAGGTATAGCAATGTGTATGATCCCCTACTTATGGTTTTCATGTAATAATAATATATTTTCAACAATTTTTTTAATGAAATTTCAAATATATTTTATTTTTAAATATTATCATTAATATCTTTAAATTATTTCAATGACTTTATCAAAGAGATCACATGGACCCAACTTGTTCATTTTTATAAAATATAATTTTATAATTAAATCATATAATAAGCTTTTTAAGAAATATAAAGGAGTTATAATAAGTAAAGTTGTCACTTTTTTTTCTTTAAATTAGTTGACACTGTTTAATCTAATGCTTATTTTATGGATTAATTTATTTCATTCTATATAAAACTTCTTCTCCCACATTTGTCATTTTAACACAAAAGTTTTTTTTTATTGTTGTGGTTTAATTTAAGTGTTACTAAAAATGCTATTTAGAAATGATTCAACGCTAAATTATTGGTTAACACTATTATTGTTCAGGAAAAAAATAAATTATCAATATAAATAATTTAGGCATTAAGGAGATGATAAATGACAATTTTTTTTATGTGTGCATATATTAAAATAAATATGTTTTTAATGTATTCCTTATTATTAATTAAAACTTATTAAAAAGTAAAAAATCATAAGTAATATAATTAAGATCTATGAAAAAAATAACAATTTCTATTAATTTGAATCAATAATAAAGAATGTATTTAAAAGAGTAATTGTTGGAATTTTTACATGTAATTTAGTAATAAGAAGAAAAATCTTTGAACTCCTGTTGTTCTTATTATTTGGTGGTCACAAATTTCCTAAACTCTACATTGCACGTGTTATATTTTTTCTTTATTAATTGTTCATCACTTTGAAATAGACATAAAGAACATATATAGTTGAAAACCTCCCATTCAAGATTTCATCACCAGATAGCATAAAAAAAATGATGTCCAATATAAATCCTTAAAGATTATCCACTCTATATTACTTATTATACAATTTCGAAACAAGAAATAAATTATAAACTTAAGATTACCATGTTTATTAGTATTTTTTTTATAGTTATATATTATAATTTTTTATTTTGATAAAAAATATTAAATATTATTAAAAATGCGATAATATTAAAATATGTAAGTAAATATAATTTTTATTTTATAAAGTTAATTTTATAAAATTGAATTAGATACTTTTAATAGTTATAAAATGTTACAAGAGTTAATTTAAGATATGACTCTTAAAGTCAATAATATATTATTAGATTAATATTATATTATTAATTCTTTTATTTAAAAAAAGTTCATATGAATAATGTGATAAAAAAATTTCGTTAATTCATATAAATTAAATTAAAGATACAATAAAATTATAATATAAAATGATGTAAATTGATTCAATAAGACTTAGGAAAGTATATTTTTATATCTAAGAAGAAACTCAAATTTAAATTCTAATATGTGCATGGAAGATGATTTTCTCTTTAACCTTTGCAGGGAGCATATTTAGGGAGGAAGACATGCAGGGAGAAATAAAGAGTGATGGGACAAATGACATGCTTCATGGCCAACCAAGGAAGACAAGACCCTGATTTGTCGCTGGGAGATAGATGGAGCAAGTTGAGGCCAAGTACAGTGGTGAAGGAATATATTGGAGACATGACCACAATATTCACCACACTTTTACAATATGTCAATCTTAGCCTGTGTTTCTTTGAACTGATTTACTGTTCACGAAGACAGAAATGAGAGATTCAATTCGTTTGTTACAAGTGATTTGAGAGGATTTGCAGGCGCGAATTTGAGGGAGAGGGGAGAAAAGCTCACCCTGAAGTTTTGAGAGGATTTGCGAGGATAGCAAAGAAAGACACATCATCAAATAAAAAATGACCTAGTTACCCTTCTCCATATGATAGCGGTTAAATATTAACCGCTATCTAATATATATTTTAGATAGCGGTTAAACCAAAACCGCTATCTAATATATATTTTAGATAGCGGTTAAACCATAACCGCTATCTAATATATATTTTAGATAGCGGTTAAACCAAAACCGCTATCTAATATATTTTACATAGCGGTTACAGAGGAACCGCTATTATATCCTCAATATATGATCGATCATTTCGAAAATCTAATCGATCAGAATAAAATTTCGCTCAAGCGAGATATAGTCGCTCAAGCGAAACACAACCCGAGACTCAATGGTTGTATATAGGGAGCTTATAATAGCGGTTAAACCTTAACCGCTATCTAATATACAATTTAGATAGCGGTTACAGAGGAACCGCTATTATATCCTCCAATTATGATCGATCATTTCGAAAATCAAATCGATCAGAATAAAATTTCGCTCGAGCGAGATATAGTCGCTCAAGCGAAACACAACCCGAGACTCAATGGTTGTATATAGGGAGTTTATAATAGCGGTTAAACCTTAACCGCTATCTAATATACACTTTAGATAGCGGTTACAGAGGAACCGCTATTATATCCTCCAATTATGATCGATCATTTCAAATTATGATTGATCAGGATCTTGTTTCGCTCGAGCGAGAGTAGTATCGCTCGAGCGAATTACAACCCGAGACCGAATCTTAAAATATTTTTTTGAATATTATGTTTTTTAATTTGCTATTAGAGAAAACCTTTCAGAATTAAAAATTTTAAATACTTTTAAATATTAAAATTAACTTTATCAAAAATGAGGAAAACAAAATTTATCCAAAAGAGTTCAAAAATGTATAAGAGTATTCTCAATTTTGAGTTTAATTATATTGTTCATTCTCAAAGTAGAAATTTATATTGTAATTATTTTAATTTACATTTTGTGATCTTCTTAAAATTAGCATCAATAACATTATATTTTACATTTGATTCATACCTAACTAATTATAGATTAAAAGGAAAGTGGTATAACCATGCATTTTACTTTTCTATTTACCTTATTCTTTTAATTATTTTATATAATAATAATCAAAATATTCACATTCATATGGGCATTTTCGAAAATAATATTATTGTATTATTGTTAAAATTAGCATCAATAACATTACACTTGATCTTCTTAATTATATTGTTCATTCTCGAGTAGAAAATTATATTGTAATTATGTTCAATTTATTAAAAGTGTAATTAAATCTCTATTTTCTTAATTTTTTTTGTTTCAAACTTCTCAATTCTACATTTTTGTAACTTCTATCATTATATTATCATCCTCATCTCCTCCCATGTTCTACTTTATCTTTACAATAGTTAATATTCTTAAATAATCTATATTTTTAATTATAATTTTTTAATATATATTTCAAAAATTAATCAATTCTAAGCTATTATTTGAAAAACTAATCAATTCTAATCAATAATTTAGAAAAATAATCGATTAGAATTAATTATTTGAAAAAATTATCAAATATGATCGATCATTTCGAAAATCTAATCGATCAGAATCAAATTTCGCTCGAGCGAGATATAGTCGCTCAAGCGAAACACAACCCGAGACTCAAGAAACTTCAAATATGGTTGTATATGATAGCGGTTCCACTGGAACCGCTCTTAAAGGGAGCTTATAATAGCGGTTAAACCTTAACCGCTATCTAATATACACTTTAGATAGCGGTTACAGAGGAACCGCTATTATATTCTCCAATTATGATTGATCATTTCAAGTTATGATCGATCAGGATCGTATTTCGCTCGAGCGAGAGTATAATCGCTCGAGCGAAATACAACCCGAGACTTGAAAACTTCTTTGTATCAGTTAAAATAACTTGAAAAGTTTTATAAGAAAGTTTTAAAGTAAATCAATCGATTAAAACGCAAATCAATCGATTGAATCACACTTAGAAAATGTTTGTAAAATGTTTTAACTGATATAAACGTGGTTGTATCAACTAAAACAATTTTGATAAAGAAACAAGAACGCATTAATGGGTTGAAAGGACTTTTAACAGATTATAACGACTATTTCAACAGATTAAAACAAACTTTCAACAGATTAATTAATGCAGCAGTTTTGAAATTACTCTTTAAAATCATAGTTGCTTGGAACTTTTTAATCATTAAGTTTTTACACATCCTAGGCAATCAAATTCAAGCAACTATTAGCATCATTTTCAAGAAAGATACGCAACTGTTTTGTGAAGCTTTTTGAAAATCTTTCTTGAGGCATATTGCATTCTTTAAAAGAAGAAACTTACAGGTGGATTAGCGTAATCCGGTTTGAGCTTTCTAAGTCTCTTCTTTTCAATTATCGTTAATTCTTTTGTATTGTGTTGTACCCGGAATTTGGGTACAAGTTTTCTCATAGTTGGTAGGTGGTTGTAGAAGTTTCCAAGAACTGTAATAGCGGTTATTCTATTTTCACTCGTATTTTATATTTGTTTTAAATAATAATGTACAATTATATTATTAGTTTTCATAATTATTTGTTATTATCGAGTCAATATTAATTATTATTTTATATTTTATAATTATTTAATTATTAGTCAAATAATTTATTTAATATGTCAACATTATTTGAATATGGATATGCAATGTACATAATTTTGTAATTGTTTATTTATATAATTTTTAATAACTTTCTAAAAAAAGTTAATTTTTTAAATTTGTTTCCAATTACAAACACTTTTAAATTTGTTTTTTCTTTTAAATATATAATCAATGTTAAAATATGGATAATTAATTAAAAAATTATATTTATAATCATTTGAACCTTATTTTATACAAAGGGTAAAATGGTAATTTTTTTAAATAATCAATTAAAATTATAATTTTTATATCTCATATCAATCAAATCATTCACAATTTCCCATAAACTTTCCTTTCACTTTCCATTCATCCAAACAACTTTAACTTTATCTCCATTTCTCTTCAAATCCCTCCTTTTCCACTCTCTCATTTCCACTCTCTCAAATCACTCCAACCAAACAAAGCATTAGGGATTAGAGATCAATAATAAGGAAAAGTGAGAAAAGAAAATGAAAGAAAAAAAATAGAGTAAAACAATTTTTTTATGTGACATGAAAAAAGAAATTTTTTTTGAAAAATAATAAATAATTAAATTAA